ACAAGTATTCGTTGGATCACGATCGCGTGTTTACTTACATCGGTATAAATAATTCCTTACAAAATTACCATCGATTAATTCACCTTAAAAAATACTTCGTGACAAGTGATACCGTAAAATACTTCTGGATCATTGCGTGATTATAATACTCTATGTTTCTGTTAGTCGTTCAAAGATTGAGATATTTATCCTATAGTCGATACAAAAGTAGAAACTACTCTATTGTTATTCAAAGATCACGTCACGATTGCGTCTGGCACAGGTTCAGCATAGTTTAGTCTTTTCGTTTTATATGATCTCGTTCATTTCATCGACTGCGATCCACGGGTTTCGCGTGTTCACGTGCCGACAGGCACTTACTTTACTGGACGGTTCTATCGTTCACATTCCTGGCCGAACAGCTCCTGCTTCGGCCAGGAATCGAGGACGGTTACAAACGAACTATAGAAATAAATATGTACAAGATACGTGCGAGATACTAATACGCGCAATCCGTCTGAAAAAAAGCAATTAACACAGGTCCGTGTTCCCGGCAAAATCGAGCAATCGTTCGCAAAATCGATCAGTCACGGATCTCCCATCAATTCTTTGGAATACTACCGTCGATCACATAGCTTTCAATTATTTCTAACATCCGTACGGATCGAAGGTAATTTCGCACGCGAAAGAAAGCCGTGCAAGAGTCATTTATTAATACATCTCATTCGAACGACTGCCATTTTGTTATCTGCTGTCCCGGTTTCGCTAAAGCCTGTTTCCACTGTTCCCCGTACGGTCCCGCGACGTCCGCTCCGATCACGAAATGACCGACAGACGTCTTTTTCCCTGAAATCATTGGACATTCATGAAATGAACACGTCGATCCCTGGTGCGCGATGAATTCTGACGATTCCTACCCATTTTATTTTTGGATACGTATTTAATAACGAAACTGACGTCCTTCAGCGCTCCCTGATAAGGATTATCGGCTACCACTCGTGCCATTTCCGGCGAGAACTTCATCGACACGCACGGCGCGAAGCGGTCGCTCTTCCAAAAATGAGTGACTCTCCCGTTATCCACCACCGACATCTTTATGTACATCTGCCCCTTCAGAGCTTCGTGCTCGTGCATCGTCTGCAGAGAGCATCTCAGACGGTGCAGAGATAGAACCAGTTTCTCGCTGCCTTCCTCCCTCTTGTCCGCCTTCTCTTGGCAAAGCGACAGTTCCAGCTGGCCCTTCTTATTCTCCCTCTACGGGCAAATTGGAAAAACATTTAATGCCAACCGCTTCGCGATTATTAAAATCATAAGCTGTTAATCAACGTTTCCCTCTAATCCCCGGTTTCCTTTAACCATTCTCCTTCCATCTCTGTTCTGAGAAACCGAAATGATAGGTTCCCTAATTAACGTTGGATCACCGATCTCTCGTCGAAATAGCTGTCTATAAATGTCTACGGAACAAGTGATCAGCGGTCGAATGCAGCTCAGTGATCCAGCGTTAATCCTGAAGACAGGAATTAATTGATAATAGTTCTGCTAAAAGTTCAGTGTCCCGGCTGTGAACTTTCAGTCCTCCGTCCCCTAACCGGTTACAATGAATAGGCCCGAACAATCAGGCTGAAAACGTGTTTGATTCCATTGAGCAGATGGAAGGGACCATTAGGACCCTTTTGGAGGGTGATCCCCGGCTTCCTCAATAAACGTGTCTCGTTGCGAACACTTACCCTATCTTCCGCCCCAGATATACCACTCGCGATCGGTCGCAACGGTCTCCACATGTCGCCCGTCGACACGTCGCTGCTGTGCTTCGGTTTCACCGGCTTCGAAGTGAAGTTCTTCGGGTCCAGGGATATCGTGGTTGCTCCGACGGTTCGTCTTTTATCGTACAGTTTCCTCTCCGTCGCCACCGTTTCCGTAGTTTTATCGGATCCCTTGCCAAAAAACTGACTGAGCAGTTTGTTCTTCACTGGCTCCTGGTTCTCCGACGAACTTCCCTGGCCATCCTTCTTCTTGCTCCCTTTTTTGGGCGAGTCCTTCGTAGGGGATGCTGTCTTATCTTTGTCCGCCTCTTTCTTCTCGGTGGCTATCAGAGGTTTGTCCTCGAGAATGGCGTACAGGGTTGCCACGATGAATCTGGATCCGTTGATCTCCTCCTCGACGACTTTCGACTTGCCGAACTTTACTTTGGTCTCCTTGCGCAGATGGAACGTGAATTCCTCGTTCCATTGTGGCCAGGATTCGTTCCTCGACGTTGTTTCGAACTTCTCCTTTCCGGGTATTAATTTCACCTACAATTCGAACATGTTACATTCTACGTTTACATTTAGATCTGCCTTTCAATTTAGCTACTAGCTATTCTATCGCTTTACAACTTGCCCTTTCAATCTTTAAACATATTTAGCTCACAGTGCTATCTTAACAAACATATTTCTATTTTCCTAAGTTCCTCTGTCATATAACACGATCTCCAAAGTATCTAATTTACAAGGTTCCACTGGAAGCCGAGGTAAACGGTAAATTGCAAGGCAAGCGGAGGCTATCCAATTCGCACGAGGACCATTCATTGTTCTTTTATAGCCTCTTTCGCGAGGGGACTCTCCTTAACAAGTCATTTTGGGCGTGTCGCGGGATATTTCCTCATTTACAAACCGACCGCACCGAATGACTCACGATCCACTCCGCCGTACTTTTCCTAATATACAAGGTGTCCGAACGTGATCAATTCCAGCGATGAGACAATCACGATTCCCACTCGGTGGGCCCGCGCGAGCGTCAAACTTCGTTCGTTTACGGCCAATTACATTTAATCCCCCGCTGACCCAAAGCTAAAGGATAAATTCAGACGCTAATGGGCCCAATCTAATTTTAATCGTCGTAATTAACCGCGCGAGGGGCCCCCGCGCCGCGCGGCGAAGCGGCTGGCGCGCGGTTCCCACACGCGCCGCGCATTGTCCGGAAAAGATTCGCCGGCCAATCGAGGCTTAAAGCGACGGCTTCGCGCCCGATCGTTCCGTCGGGTTACGTAACGCTGGCTGATAACGAATCGTCACGCTCGTCCGTACCTTGACGACGTAGCTGTTGACACGCGTGAAGCCAAAATTCTGCGGCAGGTGTCTGGCGCCCAGCACCGTCACGTGCAGCGCCTTCTCGTCGACCGAATGAACGATCCTGATGCCCACTTCCGGCTCCAGGTTCACCGTGCGGTCCAGCGGCGTGGACACCGTCTTCAATCCGGTATCGATGAAGCTCTTGATCCGCGCCAGCGCCATGGCTGCGACTGTATCTCTCTCAGCTCTTTTCGGGCAACCTTTCGAATGTCTCCGCTTATCGATCACGAGCGATCGTACAGATAGCGGTGATATATCGTGCTACGCAGCATGCTGCGAGATGGTTCTGTGGACACAGAAAATAATAGGTTATCGTTGATCGGACTCTTGATTATGTAAAGTGGCGCGATGATTTTCTGTAGTGCCTCGAGAGCGTTACAGCAGTTGATCTTGTCTCTTGGCAACAAGGTTGAATTTAGGTGTCTGTCGATGTACGATAAGGTAGGGAGGCTAAATGTTAGCGTTTCCTTAATAAGGGAAGCTAAAAGATTGATAATTCCGTGTAACGAGGAAATATCGAAGTCTCAGGTAAACGGAACACGCTTGGAGGCAGTAATTCTTCGTTATCTATATTTCACGGCTAAATTAAGCTTCGCGAATCGTCGGGAAGTAGGTTAAACTATTAATAAATAGAGTTGCAGTCGCAATTTCAGATATCGCGTGCTCGAGTCGCGTAGAACCCGACACCGGGCATATTTCGAGCTTCCGAAGACGGTCGACCGGTTATCGGCGCGCGTGTAGATCGATAAAGACCGCGTCAACAATTGAGCCCTGTTGCTAATGCTGGAATCGCGGAATGGGAGCGATAACAGGGGAAGAGTGGAAAACGGTGCTCGACGTCGACGGTTAACGGTAAACATCGAAAGGAATCGTAACACTCGGCGCCGCGAGTTCGGGACGTTTTCGCGTTGCCAAAGGCGACGGACATTCGTGTTCAACGCGTTAACTGCGCCGTCAATCATGTATGGATGACGACATATGTTGTTCGCACTTAAAAATTCATTTTCGAAGTCGTACGACGAACGAACTGAATTTCGTTAGAATATTATCTACCGTGTTAAAGATCTTTTCACTTATGTAGCATACAAGAATCTTCGAAAATATATGAAACAAGTTAATCGCAATTTAACGTAGTTTCATTGTATTTTTCATTAATAAAGAAACCGATACTTTACTGCAATTTCTCTTGTCTCGCATCTGCCTACCACCGCGTGAACTCGCAAAATCCTTGATAATGCATTATCATGAAAAACGAAGTTTCTTTTCGATTACGAATGCGTCGAACTGGACATCAACGATAAATCTCCGATTCGCAATGCCTCGGATCGACGCGTTGCGAATTCCCATTCTAATCCATTTCCACCCTCCGAACCCTCCGCTCCGCAACACCAATTCGCAATCCCATTTCACCGAAAGTAGCACAGTAAACCGTGCGCAATCAATGTACTGGCATTCCACAAATAACGCCGACTTCATGGGATTTTTATGAGTGCCTAACCAACTATATACGGCCAGCGCACGCTATACTCTCCGCGAGCACCCATACACCCGCGAGCGAGCGATTCATCCCGCGACGAACACAGCTGCGATTTAATTACCATTCCCACAGTCATCTCGATCTAATTGAACGCAAGAATTCCAGCAGTGAACGCCCGAGGAAACCAGAAGCCGAGCGCAGACGAGTCGGCGGGAGTGCGTTGCTCGCGGGTTCCCGGTTAACAGGTTAATAGCGTGCGATTATGGTGACCGTCGATCGCGCTATCACGGGACGGAAGTTTCCCATCGGTACTTTCTCCGGCAAGAATGTCCGGCCGCGAGGCGTTGTCACCTGTCGATCGATCCTCTCGCGGTGTCGCGCGCGTAGAAAGGCCGCTTGGAAACAGGCACGTACCCAGGATCGCGTGCGTTTTCGGCCGGCTGCGCGGTAGATCCGCTCGCTGCGCGCAGAAGGTACAAAAGAGGACTCGGCCCGCCGGTTCCCTCACTGGAAAGACCGCTTTCTGCAGCTGCCCGCTCGTTCCTCGCGCTATTATCCGCGATCCGCCGTCGGACTTCCACTTCGCGTCTATCAGACCACCGTCACCATGACCACAGACGGAGCGTAAACACGCAGAAAGCGGTCTACCCGCTCGCCATTCCCGGACAACGTTGGACGCGCGTTTCATCCGTCGCGTCGATGCGTCGCCGCGGACACGATACGCGTTCGCTGGAACGTCGCCGAACGTTTTCCCGCGCGCACTGTGAAATTTTCGTATCCGACGCACGCGTGCTGCGATTTCGGCTCCGGTCACGCACAGTGAACGGGTTTCGTCACGGAACAGCTACGACCGACGCGCTGCCGTGGTATGCGGCCCGCGCTCTCGCGTGGGTTCCCTTTATAAGAGTGTCGACTGCACGCCAGGCCCGAATGCACCGGGGGCGACTCGTTTCGGGGCGCTCGGAATGCAAATGGAATGCAGTTTTCGGCGTTCGCGTTCGTTGTTGAAGCGAGATTCTTTCGCGTGAAATTTTATTATTTTTGTTGGTGGGTATCGATGACTAGCGGTGAGATTGGAGTAAGAGGAATAGTAATTTGATTTTATTTTGTGGTACAGTTTGTTGAAAAGTGTATTGGAGCGAGATGCAGGTGGTGGTTTGAGATTGATTAGAATTGGATTTGATGAGATGAAGGTTGAGGTTGTATATATTTGCTATTCGAATTGCTATTGGAGTATTAATAAAATATTTATACAATTGCAGGTGTTCTAATTTTTTACTGAAGTATGCAACTGCAATTTGCATTTTCTCCGTGAATATCATATATAATGAGTGCAACATTGAACGAAGAATATTCGTAAACACGTAATTACGAAGATTTCATTCATTGCACGGTAATCAGCCGTATAATTAGGAGTGCCATTAATGAAACAAATAATTTATCGCACTGTGAAATCTGCGGCGCGTTCGCAGAGGAGCGCTAAATATGAAAGTTCCATCGAAGTTTTCCCAGTAGACGAAATCCACGTGTGCCAGTAGCTAATGGAACATTTGCGGAGGAGAAAAAATGGGGTTCCTCGCGAATAATTACGCCACTGTCGCAAAAACTGGCTATTCCTACTAAAGTAGAGGCACCACTTGTACACTTCATCGCACAATCTTTATGGACTCTGCTTGGATCCTGACGCCTGTTGCGCACACAAGGTCGCGCATTCATGTACTGGTGAATGTGTACGATCGTGTGTATGCACGTACACTCGGCCTGTGCACGGGTAAATACGCCGCCTCAGTGAATGAGAGTGTGTAGTTGCAGTAGCGTAGCTACCTTGACGTCCTCCCCGCACTTTAAGCGAAATTTCTTTGACATTCGGAGCAGAAAACACGAAACGCGAATGAATCGACGAAGGAAGAAGAATATATTTAAAAAAGATGCGTCGAATCAGATAAAGCACCCAGGAATTCATTAAAGAGTTTCTTCGTTAAAGAAACGAGGGACAGAGGGATCAAAGAATTTTTAATTGAGATTGATGCCGTCCGATGCGCAACAGATCTAATTGTAATGTGACACTATATCGGAGAAGATGCAGAACGGAATGCGCGGTGCATTGTCTTGCATAAGAAACAAATCTCGGAGCAAACATTCGCATAAACATGACGGATGCATTGCAATTGCAGATCCGACGACCGCATCGTTGTTATTTCGTTATTGATTTTCTGGAACGGTATAAATCTTTACGTTAATCGTCGTGTGGGAACAATAGAGGCGCTACACGTGGCCGCGAGCTATAGCCGTTCTCTAATTTGTTTTGTTTACACGCCTGGATACATTAGAGTCGCCATTTTTAATATCTCCGATCTCCCCTTTGGTATTTTCTGCTTGTCCCAGCGGATGATGATTTATGCAGAACTTCGAGCATCTCTTCTAACACTTATTTTCCAATACGCACATGGGACGCTCTCCCACGAATAAATAATTACGTCGATTGCGCGTGATAATATGCAAGGATACGTTTGATAGATGACTCGACCTTCGTCGTTGAGCAACTTACTTACATTGTCACGCGTTAGAATCGCAGAAGTTCAATTACTCTCCCTGCCACAGGATGTTGCGCAATAACGGCTACAATTAGGACTCTCCATTCTTTTATTTCACCGTTCGTTCATTTACAACAGGATCTACCGAGTTACCAAGATATAATACATCTTGAGAATACTCCATGTTATCTCGTGTCATGCAATATTTGCAATGGATCAAGTAATTTTTCCAAAGATCACACTGTTATTAATACAGCATCCTAGCTACGAATTATTACTTTCTTATGAACCAAAACTGCTCAGTAAATATTTTATGTCAGTAATATATTCAGTAAGCATCATTGTCGAGACGTAAAATCCTATAAAATTGCAATGTCATTTAACCCCGTGGTCGTAACATTTTAGGCATCAATAAAATTGTGATATCGCAGGTTTCGGCTTTGTCCTCGAAGGATCCGACATCCCCGGCTAACGTTCGCGAGGGTTCCCGCTAGATGGCGGGGGGTGTTTTCGAAACAACCCCTACCATCCCTGATAACGAGCCACCCTTCGGCGAACAGCTGTTCCGAACCGCCATGGCGCACGCGACTCCGCCGTATCGAAAACGCTCTCGACCTTCTCGAATTCACCGGTTCCGTGTGTTGTTTACGTGGCCAGTGTCAACGCGTTCCGTTGCGTATTCCCGATGGTAGGACGGTCCCCGTGTACGATGTGTGCGGGTGAGGTGTGCTCGTGTGTTGTGTCCAAGTGAGAACTCGAGAACCCTTTTTTCACCCCCACAGGGCCCACCGGTTTCGCTGTCACATCGAAAGGGTAAGTGATACATTGTTGTCTTCTGTTATTTTTTTATAATTTTCTGCCGCAATCTCGCCTATGTGAAATAACTCTTTATAAATATTAATATCGTTCTTCGAAAATGAAATATGAAATATCACGCGTACGAAATATGGCATCCCCAATTGCATGATTTGATGAAAGTGCAGTTATGTTTTCGATATGTTTTCATTAAGTAGAAATGGATTATTCGAATGAAAGTTATCGAGGTTCTGGAGAAAGTGAATTGATAAGGGTGGAGTTATTGACTGAGTCCTACGGGGTTTCCCACTTTATTAGTCCCTTCTTTTAAAGAATCCCTTTATATTGTTTCACTGACTGTACTCTCGATTCATGAATAATTCGCTGTGCAACGGTCGTGCATATTAATCGATATTTCCTCTGTATAACAAACTACGCGTTTTAGCACACATTTCGGTTCACAAGGTTTGTTTTATCGAGTGAATTATTACCGAAGAATACTACCCCTAACGCCTTGACAAATCTTGTATCGGTGATTCTTCAATCCTGACGTCAGATGGCAGCACGTGACTCTATATTCGGATGCACGTGCCATTATTACCACTAATTTCCTCATAAAATAATTCTAATCGCTCTGTACTTACATCCATTTGCTAAAAAGATTCTAAAAAACATCTTTTAATAATTAAACACCTAATCATTTGAACCCTGTTATATTCTCTTTTTTGTATCAAAAAATGAGAAAGTTCTCAACCCTTCACACAACCCCCTTTTTTTATCGTATTCGCATAGCATTCTCTGACATCCGCACCCTTCATCAGCTTCATCTTATTTGTCCGCCTATTTATTTCCCTTATTAATAGCCCGATCTTTAACTTACAATCGCCTGTCTCAATCTGCTCGCTCATTCTTCTTAAACCACCCAGTTCGTTCCGAAACACAAGTCGCTCCGCGCTCTTCGACGATGAATTTCTCGCGTTCACTTTATTATACGCTCCTTTGTGCGGCACAATTAAAAAGTTCGCCCCGATGCGCCGCGTATTAAGTCTCAACTCTCCAGCGGATACCTCCGGGAATACCTGAAACTATCGGGGAAGTTTAAACGATCGTTTTTCATCCGTCGGCCGCGGGGGAGGGGGCGTGGCTGCAACATGATTTAATTAGCTGCCGGCCTTTCGGCGAGAGTTGCAGGTTGCAGCAATGATACTCGCTGAATCGAAACTGTGAAGCCTTCGCCTCTTTGAAAACCGAAACGCGTGTCGACTACCATTGCGTTTTCACGCTGTATTGCTCGCTCGATACCGGACAGTGTCACTCTTTTTTATCTTTTCCGCGTAACTGTGATTAACACGTCGCCCCGCTGAAATTTAGTTACACGTCGCTCGTCGAGCTTGCGCCTCTCTTTAGGCCAGCTTATTTGGAAAAACGATTAACAATGGAGTACGCGCGCGGGATGAATCTCCGTCGACCGGACGATATTTTACACCGAATACTTCTCACTCCCGCGTAAGACGAGCTTCTGCTTCGACTTCCTCGTCAGCTACGTTTCTAATAAATCTCGTTCAAACCTAAAACTTCCTCTCGATAACGAGCTCGACGACGCAACATCATTCATCCGACACAGTTCTACTCTCGAATATCGAGAAGCAAGTTCGATTACAATATTAAAATTATCCTGTCGCAGCGCCTTGTTTCCACTTTGAATACACTCTGCATGCATATTAAACGGCGATGAAAGATGATTTCGTTACGGACCATTCTCGCGGACATAGTATTACGGGGGAATTTAAGCGTCACGGAAAATGGCGAGCCGAGTGTGCGAGTCCCTCTCGTTCGCAGGGTAAAAATAAAATGGGGAAAAAAGTGTATACCAGCGAGACGAACGCGATTCGCGTGAAATTAAAAACGCCGCAGATCCGATACACGTGGAAGTGGAACGGCCGGTTAATTATCCGACCTTTGGAAATTGGCCGATCTCTCGTTAAAGCGCGGAGGAGGGCGGCTTGTGAATTTCCGCGCGAGTCCTCGCCCGCATCGGCCGCCATTAAAAATGCGGCTCCGCGACTAGTTTGTCATTCTCTGTATTTATTACTCGTGCGTGCTCGCAGGATATTTAGTCTCTCTTTGAATCGTGCGGCCCTTTAAGTGCATCATTACCCATTCCCTTTTGTGCCGACCGGGATTCGCGTGCAGCATCCGCGCACCTATCCTCCCCCGCCCCGGCCGGAATGAATTGCAAACTACCCCGTGTCCCGGCGGCGACCTCCGCGAATTATTTTTTCCCCCTTCTTCTCTCCGCGTCGTTTCTTGAAGAGCGGCGCGCTTCAAATCCGGATGGAGCTCGTGATCCCCGATAAACCGATTACCCTGTGTACACGTTTCATAAATAATTGTCGGGTAACTTCGCTCGGTGCTCCGTCGAACGTCGATTTCAAGGTGAACTCGCGCTTAACCCGTCGCATGAAATTTTCGATGGTTCGTGAAACATAAATGGAGGCGAATCGTGGCTTCATCGAATTCGGTATTGTTTTTAAAG